AAAAAAGTAATCGGATTACAGTAACGCTTTACAAGTAACGCGTTACTGCCCATCTCTGGTGGTCAGTTACTGCTCTTACTGTCTCAGAGCGATGTGACCACATAATTTCCTCGAACGTATTCTGATTCTAACATTCACATCATTTGTTTTTATCATTGACGTATCAGGAACATAATACTGAGCAAAATCAGCTGGTTGAGACGTCTGCATGCACACGGGAGCATTTCTTACACAGCCTGGGCGCTGACTGAGATTTTAGGTGAAGCTAAACAGGATACAGTCTGCAGAAACCAGGCAGCGTGCAGCACATGAAGTTTGAAAGCTATTCACATTTGTAATCTGGAGGCAAAGAGCCAGTGCAAATTAACATCACGGGGTGACGGAAAGCTAAAGGAGCTGTTCCACTCTTTGTCATTTGACAATGACAGAGATGCGCGGTATGAATCTGTGCTGCAGTGACAGGACAGCTCAGCAGAAGACCTTGTGGAACCAAAATATCCTTCCTGGCCTGGAGGGATTCTGCTTTTGTAGATGTGTGATTTCCCACGTGGGGCACCCATATTTGAATCGGGTCTGTCACAGTAGACCAGCGTCCTGCTCCCTCTTGCTCGTTTCACCTTGACTTTGTATTATTTTCCAATTTGAAAAAATGAAAGGATAAAACCCCGTCTGGATTGCTGCTGCGGGAGTGTATCCTACCTGTTGTTCAGTCCTGCGATCCTCCACCTCCTCTTGGAGACTTTCTGGGATGAAGACTCCAGCTGCTCCCTGAGCCTTCTGGCCCATTAAACTCCACTCCAGACACCTCAGCTCTTTCTCCTTGAGGCGGATTAAAGCTCGCAGATCTGACATCTCCTCCTGAACAAAAGCGGTTATTTAAAGAATAAATGGCAGCTACATGATTGGATAGAGCCCAGCTTTGGTTCCTCTATTGATTTGATAAATATTACCTCAGATTGTCAATGCATGAAGATTTCTTTAGAATATCCTGATGTTGTGTCCCCTGATTTTTCTTTTTTGTTTGCATGTAAATTCATGAAACTCTGTCTCGTTTAGCTGGTTTGCACTTTTGTTTGAGTTATTATGAATTTATTATAAAGGCCAATCTGTATATTCATGGCGTCTCATCCACTGTATCCTGTATATGTATTTAGAGTACATGTTGCCGTTGGGATTAATTTTTAGAAAACACAACATCTCCTTCCACTATTATGCCGATGATATCCAGATTTATTCACCTTTGAAATCTGATGTGTCTGCTTCTTTGCAACCTCTGTTCAACTGTTTGCATGAAGTTAAAATTTGGTTATCACATAATTTTCTTACATTGAACGAGAATAAGACCGAAATCAAAGTCTTTGGTAGCTGATGCCCTCTCGCTAGCCATCTCTCGCTCACTGTAAGGAACCTCAGAGTGTTCCTGGATGGCTCTTTTAAACTTGAGAAACAGGTGTCCACTGTGGTAAAAAAACAGCTTTTGCCAGTTGCATCAGATGTCCAAAGCAAAGCCGTTCCTTCCTCTAAAGGACCTTGAAAAGCTTATCCACGCACTTATCACATCCAGACTGGACGACTGTAACTGCCTCTACTCGGGCCTCCAACACTCTTCTCTTTACCAGCTTCAGTTAATTCAAAATGCAGCTGCGCGTCTTTTAACAGGTATGAGAATCTATGAACACATCACTCCAATTTTAGCCAAACTACATTGGCTCCCTGTTAAATATCGTATAGATTTTAAAATTCTTTTGTTCACTTTTAAAATTCTGAATAATTTAGCGCCCAGCTATCTCTCTGAACTACTCCACTTATACAATCCCAACAGAGCACTTAGATCGTCCAATCACAGGCTCCTAGCACAACCTAGGTCTCGAATCAAGTCGAGAGGTGACCGGGCCTTTGCAACCGTGGCACCCAGACTCTGGAATAACCTCCCTGTTCATAATCGTACTGCCGAGTCGATCCAGTCTTTTAAATCACGTCTTAAAACTTATTTTTTTACTTTGGCTTTTGATTCTTTGAGTTGGCTGTTCTAGCTTGTTGTGTTGTTACCTATTGTTTGTTGTCCTGTTTTATTGTTTGTTTTAACTGTCTCATGTTTTTACTGACTGTGAAGCACTATGGTCAACACTGTTGTTTTAATATGTGCTATATAAATAAATTTTGATTTGATTTGATTTGATAGAGTACTATGCAAACAGTGTTTTAGGAAATTATGCAATCTAAATATTTTACTCCTTTCTCTCTTTAATCTCTTTGCATCCATATTTTTGCATGCTTTTATTTTCCTGGCCGTGGTGTGATTGTAATGTACGTCATACCCTGACTGAGATCAGTTCATAAAACAGGGAAGCCTTCTCCTTCTTGTTATCAGCAGGTTTGTCTTTAGTCATGTGACCCCCTCTTTGTCCAGGTGGGCTCAGTTTGGCCTCTGCTCCTTGACCTGGCTTAGGGAGGCAAATGGCCGCCCGGTCCCTCTTCAGGCGCTCAATTTGCTGCCGGAGAGCCGCCTCCCGATCCTCGGGCTCGGGCGTCCTGTGGGGTTACTTGCAGTGAACAAGCTGACAAAACCGCAGCCCGAGAAATTTGCATATTTGAAGTTCCTACACGGTGATCTCGAACTCTTTCGTCAGCTTTGTTGTGTGTAAGCGTTTTAAAACATCACCTCTGCCCCGTGTGACTCGGTGTTTCCGTCTCCTCTGTGACCCCTGCTGTTGAGAAGGAGGTGGACAGCTCTTCAGTCCCCATTTTCCTCAGCTGAGCTAATGGACTGTCTGGGTGCTGACTGTCACCGACCGGCTCTGATGATGGGAAAAGAGAGAACCCGACTGTGTCTGATGCTTGAAAGCCGTATATTGTACATGTCGGTGTCTGAGTGCTCTTTGGTGCGAGTATTAAAACTCGTTATTCCATCACCTGCTGAGACGCTCCGCTGAAGACTGCTTTGCTGCTTCCTGGCGTCATAAAGCGACAGCAGCTCGCCGTAGGCCTCTTCACACTCCTCACTGTCAGTCGCAAAAGACAAAACGTGACCTTGCTAATACTGTTAAACCGACCTGTGCGTGCTGATGGTTTCTGACAGGTGATAACGAACTCGTCCAGCGTTGACACAGACAGAAATATTTATTTGTACCAGTATCTGAGAGCCATCTGCAGGGCCGAGCAGTCGGACTCAAGCCTGTTCAGCCTGAGATTGATCTGCTCCGACTCTCCTTTCCTTCGCTCCAGAGCTGCAGTGAGACGTTCGTTTCTGGCCTTCAGCCTCTCGATGCATCTGCGGTAAAGTGAGTGA